TATTTTTAAAACAATTTTTCTTTATTCTTTTCTCGTTTCATTTATAAGTTAAGTAATATTAAGCAACAATAATAATACTGTATACACACAATGATCGTATAGATCGATGTTCTGTACGATGTATACTAGATCTTCTCTCGATACAGCACGATGATAACGATAATCAAGAAACTCAAAAGAAGAACTCACGCGATTAATTATTAACGGGAAGACATCGCGAAAGATGATCGAATATACGTGTACGAGGTGTTATATAAGATATCCTTTCCAATTTGAAAAAGATGTACATGTCGATTCCGGTTGCAAAATCTTTACAACCGGAAATATATAAAAATATTGATTGCTTCGACGAAAAAATGCTTCGAATAAAAAGAGGAAATTAAAAACAGGAAATCAAGCCGATCGTATTGTTCATTAGATCCTGATGTTTTTTATCGTAAACATCCTAAACTGTATTCCCTGTTTGTCCCTGAACCTGTAAGAGTGGCTTTTTTTCCGTACTGAGCGTATATAAGAACTGACGACGTCCTATCACAAAGCGCAGTATTAGATTACCACCTCGACGTTAACACGAACCTCGTGTTATTTACAAACTTCGCCGGTGCTTTTATATTCAGTGACCAATTAAATGTAAAATCGTGTTCGTTTCGAGACGATATTATTACTGAAATTTTGGAGAAACCGGTTTCAAGCACGCATAAAACAGAAATTAAATATTCATCATCATGGAAACCGCGTTGTCCACGAATATGGATAATTCTGCTCTTATCGATGTTGGCAAGAGTCAGACCAACTTTGCAAAAAAAATGCCAAAAATGGTCAAGTACACGGTAAGCCCACGATATTTTTCACTTCGAGTTTTCCAATAAATTTTATTCATGCGATGCTTTTTCGTTGCATATATCTTGACTAATATCATCGTGAATAATTATAAAATTTATTGTTGCGATGTAAAAATAATTAAATATACTGTGAATATAAATAAATATGTAATTTTATATATATATGAATGATTAAATTATTCAAAAATAATTTCAGAAATTAATTGAATTTAAAAGAAAATTTTCAAATTATTCAATATATCATAAAAATAAATCATTTTCGTTTATATTGTTATATTTCTTGTATTTCTTGTACTCATTGTATAAAAGTGATCAACTGTTCGGTCTTTAAATATGTTATTCATTGATAACTGTGATAAAACGTTGCATAAATAAGAACACTTCGTAAATATAACAAACCTCGTTAATTGTTCTGTGTGAAAGCGTTAATTCAATTCCCGTGAACGCGAAAATAACGAATTGTTATTGTCTTGATTGCATTAAGTTACATTTATTTATGTATGCATTGTTGCACCATATTTTGTTATTCAGAATTCGTGCAATCAGATGTGCCACTTTGTCTAAGCAATGATCCAAATACCAACTAGATTAATCATTTATCTAAATTTTATGGTGACTTAATAAAACCACGAAGATAAATTTAAAATAACACATTTGCGTATATTTCGTAATTTTTGTTATTTTCTTATCTGTTTTAGCTTGCGGATTCAGCGAACGACGAAAGAATTGGCATGGACTATCATATTCAAATAATCACCAAAGATGATAAGCTTAGAATACTTAAATTTCTGAGAAGGTTCTTCTTCAGAGATGAACCGCTTAATCATTCGATTGAATTAATACCAGAAAGCGAGGATAGTACTTGTCTCGAATTGGAAGAATATTGTAGCATGTCTTCCCTTGAAAATAATCTCAGTCTTATGGCAGTCTCAACGAACGGTGCTATAATAGGTGTTATATTAAATGGTAAGACTTTGATCTATATGTATCAAAGATTAACCAATGTTTTCACTATTCATTGAGCTATTTACGCGAAAGCTGTTGGAACTACGATTGTGTTTATGCAGATATGTATATCTGGGTTAACAACACGATCGCATACCAAGAATGTTCTATTTTCAGTGGAAAACAATGATGAGTTAAAAAGTTCTATGAATATAAAATCATGATGAATTAATCATGATAAATATTTCTCAAGTTTATATATTAAAGAATGAATTTAAGATAATGAAATAAGTAGATATTTTAAAATAATAATATTTAAAATATTTAAAATATGATATATAAATATAGTACAAAAAATATTTTATTTCGTAATTATATATAGAATATGGACTGGCTCATTGAGTGATTTTGATATGTAGTTATGATTTAAAACTATTTCGAAGATTTAAATTTAATTTATTTATCCTTGACCTATCCTAAATCTAACTCAAACTTATTTCAAACTTTGGAATACGAATGATGAAAATATTTTTGCAAATATTTTTAAAATTAAAATCAAGCGATGCTTATATATACATATACTATCAAAGTTACTCAAGATGTTGATCTTGATAACATGTTTCAAGAAAATTAATGAGATACCTCCTATTCTAAATAATTATCATCATATCCTGTTTGAAAATTATCATTAAGAAATTTATTATTATTTATTATGTAGATTACTACTAAAAATAGAAATTATAGATAATTATAGTATTTATAAGGAAATAATTTTTATCAAAGCTAATTAAATATTTAATTAAAAATTACTATTATATATTTTCTTATTGTGTTTATATTTAAATATAAATTATATTAAATTGATTATAATTTATAATAATAAATACATAAATCACATAAAAAAATTAAAAAAAAAAAAATTGAAGAGAGGAAGACACACCTATCGTATAAAACGGTACTACATATTTAACGTTACATAAATTGTTGTGAGAATACCGAGTAAGCGTGTAACTATTAATTGTTATCGGTTGTCACAATCGCAATAATTATGTTATTTTATCGACATATCTAGTTAATTACATATTCAAACAAATCAAGTTCAAAAATTCACCTGTCAAGTTAGAATTCTCAATATAGAATTCTCATTTTATCGATATTGAATATTTCTTATCGAAACATTATTAAGATTATAAGAATTTGGAATCAATATAATATCAAATATCAAATATTAAATCAAAATATTTGACTTTGTAATTACGACTAATAATATTTAACTTATCATTATATCAATATATTAAAACAACTTTCTTCTCATTCATATTAAAATATTCATTAAAATTTATACATATATATACATATACATTTAATTATTATATTAATTAATTGATAAATATTTATTTTAATATTTATATAATTATTAATTGATATATTTATTTAAATACAGGAAAGATGGATCCTCCGAATGATGAAGAACCAGAATATATAACTACATGTGAAAACGCAAAATTTAAAAAAATTCTAAGATTATTAAATTACGTAGATCGAAATGTAAATCGCGATGGAAAATTTCGGGGATTAAATATTTTGGAAATCAGAATAATCTCTGTAGATTCAAACTGGCGCGGTAAAGGGGTTGCCAAAGCGCTTGTAGAAAAAACACTGTAAGTTTTGTTTTTTTCATTAATATACATGAACGAAGTAAAATGAATCATAATTATATCAATTTATATGTATATGTATGTATACATATGCTTTAATGAAATTGAATGCTTATATTATTGAAGTATTATATATTAGGTTGATATTAATTATATATGAATATCTCATAAAAATATTTTCTTTATAGTGAAATTGGAAAAGAGAAAGGCTTGCATATTTGTCGTGTCGACTGTTCGTCCTATTTTTCCGGAAAACTTTGCGCGCGACTTGGTTTTGAACAAATATATGAACTTAATTATGCAGATTATGTAGATGAAGATGGTAATCCTATATTTTCTCCAGCATTTCCACATACAGCAATTGTTACGTACATTAAGAAATTGTGAACACGATAGACATAGAATCAAGAGTACCTGTTTATAGAGAATTGAAAATGATTAAAAAAAACGCACTTTTACATTTACATTTTATTTTTCTTTTTCGAATTTACGAAAATGTTGTACAGTTATTTTTTTCTAATGTTTCTTTAATTTATTTATTACTTTTGTACAAATTAATATTGTAAAATGTAATATGATTATAATACAATTATTTGCTCGTGACATTATAATAATGAATCGTGCCAAAATGCTAGCAATAATATTTTAATATATAACGCGCACGTTAATAAATATGATTGCATTAAACTATAAATGAATATTGCATTATTAGAAATGTAAACATATATATGAGTTACATGTTTTTGCTTTGTTGGATATTTCTAAAATATATATGAATTTGTTATTATTCTATGTAATGAATTTATACACGAAAATAAAGATAGCATGATTTGATATATAAGATAGCATTATTTATATATAAATAATTTAGAATATTTTCGATCTTTTAAATAAAAGTTTTGTTCATATAATAAAATGTAATAGAATAATAGATATTTAAAATGAAGATCACAAATATAGAATCTTATAAAGCAAAATAATAGATTTGTTTTATAATATATATATTAATTTCTTTTTATACATATTTATATATATATATTTTTTATATATATTTTTAAAATTATTTACATTTAAAACTATTCTATCTAAAAAAATATTTTTTAATTTGTACGCAATTGTAACATATTTTTTATATATTTTTGCAATGCAAATATATTTCTATAAAAACAAATACAAACATATAATTCTATAAAAAATAGTTTTTAGAATTTTACTACAATAAAATATAAATAAATACATTTGGATTATATATTATGGATCATCTACAGATATATTGTACTTTTTAATCAATTTATTAAAAATTTGTACTTTTTCTTCAAATGTTTTATTTTCAAATATTTTCATATTTTGTTCATATTCCATTTGAATTTCAGCACTTTTTTGTAATGCTGCATTTTTATTATGATCTGACCATGAAATAACACGCATTATTTGAAAAAATATTCCTATAATTATAAGAAATATACAAAAGATAGTTGTCTTTTTTTTCTTTTTTTCATAATTTTCTTTCTCATCTGTTGAATAATACATGTTACATGCATGATAATATTGATCATTAAATCTGAAAATATATTTTATATATAATATAAATATAATTATAATAATTTTGTTAAATAATCATTGAAAAGAAATATTAAAAAATATACCTAGTGTTTTGATAAAAATTGTTTGTATGAATATTATTAGATTTTAAATCAATATCATAAATATGTTTACTTTGTTCATTACTTAAAATATTATATGCTTCATTTAATTTTACAAAATCATCATGATTTCCAGTATTATTATTATCAGGATGCATCTAAAAACATATTGAAAATATATTGAAAATAAAACATTACTTGCTTTTGTAATATTTTGTAAATACTTATAAGAATAAAAGAATGGCTCACTTGTTTTGATAATTTAATATAGGCATCTCTTATTTCTTTTTGAGATGCATTTGGAGATATTTGCAATTCTTCGTAATAAGTACATTTACATCTTTAATAAATACACTAATAATTAATTCATATAACTTAAGTGATATATTTAAATACAATATTTTTAAATTCTAACCTTTGTTGATTATATTTTCTACAGAAAACACGAATTAATATAGGTATTTCAATTTTGTATATACGAAAAATTTTATCCATCTTTTTTAAATCTTTCCCGCATACAATCGTAAATTTAAAAAAATTAAGATTAATTTAACATGTCACATATTAAACACTACGATTTTGTACTAATAAAAATATAATAAAATAAAACTGACATTGTATATAATGTATATAATGTAATAATAATATATATTTTATATATATATATATATTGAATTATACCAATCTTAAAATTATATAAAAATTATAACTAAAATTTTATAAGTTTTAATTCAAAATTTTTTACATACATTCAAAATGAGAAAAAAATAATAGTTATATAAAAATTATTATTTTATCTTTTAATTTTTTGTTTATAATAATAATTAATTTTATTATGTTCTTTTTTGAAATTAGTGTTTTAAAAATAAAAATATTTTAAAGAAATTAAAATATAAATTTTTAAAACTATAAAATAAATTATGTTATCAATTCGTAATGATATATTTCGATATTGAAATTTATATTAAAATCTATAAATATTCACATTTTTTTTTTAATCTTAAAATAAAAATTAAAAGAGAAAATACAAAATTCATGAATTAAATATTTATTAAAAACCAAACTCAGATTTTATAATATAATAACAATTCTCATTTGTGTTTGGTACAGTATAAAATATATTACAATATGTATACAAGAAACATCCTTAATTATATATATAAGATAGGCCTCAAGCCCAGCTCGATGTCTATGCATTTCAGGCTTATCATATGTAATTTATGCAATATTTGTTATGCGTTTTGTATAAGCTCTAGTATTATCAAAAAATTACATATACGTAATTTATATTGCATATTTTATGTACAAATTGTACGTTACAATGAACAATAATGCAAGCCCTTATTAAAAAATATGAGATTAAATAATAATGTAAACATTTTGTTCATATATTATAAAAATTGACATATTATATAGATTTATTGGCTTGTCATTATAAATAATACTTCAAGAATCAAGTGCATTGGCACAAATAACTTTTGTCTATATTGCATATCAATTGAATCTATTTTATACCTTATAAATGCATTAGGTAAAAAACATACATTCAGTTTGCTAAAGATTCGCAATTTAATACGTTAATACAGTCACATTCTAATAAAATCTCTTATTAAAATAACGATTAAAATTTTTAACTTCAATCAAAATATATAAAAATTTTTATAATTATATCGCTTTGCATTTTTAATGTTTTTAAATGTTTATATTATTAGTTTAATTTGTAAGAAGATCGTAAACTTATTCAAAATTTTCTATAATATTTACGAATATTTATATACGGTCTTCTTAAAATTCAACATACACATATGTATGTGCATATAGGCAATAATAGAATAACTCGCTTTTTGTCTCACGATTCATAATAATTTATGAGAATTAAATTCACTTACTAGTAATAAAATATATATATACGTGTTATGAAGTTTTTACTGTTTTTAACAATTGAAATATGAAGGCAAGTTATTTCTTTTTCGAGCAATCTGAATGTTTTCAAGATCACTACAAATTTAAAGTATATTTTTATTCATTTTTATTTTCTCTTAAAGGGACGTTTGAATATTTTGGAAAATCTACAGCATCTACTGGATTTTTAACTTTAAAACTAGGAAATAATCCCGTCATACTAGTTCTAATATTATATCCTTTAGAATAACCATCCCAATGATTTCCAAGAACTTCAATTAAATCTCCTACTTTTAATTCGATTTCACCATCTTTTCTTGGTTTATGATCTAAAATAACTTGATGAGGATGTGAATTTTGACCACCATAATAATAAATATCATCCAATGATGCAAAACGATTATAAGCATCTGGATAATATGTTTGCATTAATTCATATGCTACGCGACATACTTGAGAACTGAATGTACACACCAAATAATCACATTCAGATAAAAGATGTATATCAATAATTATTCCTTGTAAAGAAGAATCTGAATATCGCTTTGCAACTGAAGCTGTCTCTGCTATTTCTGGATCTGCTATTATTTCATAATTAGAATAACGATTTCTCGCTGTTGTAATTACTTTCGGATCATCGCTTGCTAAAAAAACTCTTTTCACTTCTGGTTTTGTTTCAAGTTCATCAAAATATTGGTCAACTTTAATCATATATTCATCTATATCGTGATAAGCAGCTTCAGTACCAACTTTATCAGTTCTGCGTACATGAATTCCAACAATAGGTTTCTTGAAACCAAGCCTTTCTTTGGCATCATCTAATGTTTTTTTTACATGTTCTTGAGGTCTCATTAAATATTTCAAAACTTGCCCTACCCACCATACTAGGGGATGGCCATGAAGTTTCTCTAATCTTGATGCTAAATCAGCTGGTACACTTGGTGGTTGATATCTTGGTTTTGGATAAACATTATCTACAATTGGCAAGGAGATGACTTGTTTAGAAGAGTCACCAGGCCAATTAGCATGAGATGCTCCATTTGTAGATACACATGTATCACTAAGTGGTTTAAAAACTGATTCCCAACCATCTTTATGATACCTCCAACCTTTAGATCTAATTATTAAAGTTCTTTCTGTACCATAAGCAACCAAAAAGCAATATGTAATATGATGAATCTAAAATATATAATTAATTTATTCATAATGTTTTATATATTTACTATATATATATAATATATATATTATTTACCTGACAACCAAATCCACAACCTTTATTTAAACTGCAAATCAATTTTCTTGCTTTATTACAATCACTAGGATTTTGTAAATATTTGAATCTTCTTTGTACAAGATCAGATAATTCTTTTGCTTCCTTTTTACGCCATTCATCATAACCATCTGCTTTTGTTAATCTATCAATGTCTATTGTAAGAGATTTTTTATGATCCCAAGTATTTTTTAATGTATCTTGTATTCTTTTTTCTCTTTGATCATAATTAAGTTTATCAATACCTTTTCTAAATTTGCTTAATTCTGCATTAATATAATACCTATTTAAAACATTATTATATTATTATATTGTATATATTCCCCATTTTTTTTTATATATAAAATGATAATATATTTTTTAAACATTATATTTACCACATCTCTTGAACATTATTTCTTATTCTTCGTCTTAATTCTTCATATTCAGAAGAAGGAATACCATGTTTTACATTATCTTGATGATCCAACAAATCTTCATAAATAGAAACTTTTTCAAGTTTTTCTTGTATTGAACCTAAATGATCTCCTTGAATAGATTTTGATCTTTCTCTGGAAATTATGTTATCCTGTACAACCAAAAGATCACAATGCTCTTTGTTTTAAACTTCAAATAAATCTGTCTATTTTTATAATTTTTATTATAAACTTACCCTAAAACTATATTTTTTAATGCTTCATTTTGTCTTTTAAGAATTTCAAAATCATTAACCATTTGGGCTAAACGTTGAGCATTTTCTTTATTTGTAGGACTTTCATTATTAGATGATAAATTATTAGTTTTAAAGATATGTGATACTGATATTATTAATATCAAAAGCCATGTAGCTAATAATGCTAATCCTACTTTTCCTAACCAACCAGGTCTTCCTGACCAAAATGTTGCCATTTTATGTTGTAATAATAATATTATGACATTTAATCAATTGCATTACGTCATCTATAAATGTAAAATTATCATTCCTTTAATGAAAAATTTTATGAGATAGCAATTGTTATATAACAAAAATAAAATATTTATATTGTAACATAATATTCTGTAGTAATATAAAAGATTTACTTAAACTCTTCTATTAATTAAGAAATAAATATTATAAATATAATTTCATAATAATAATGAAAATTATTTTTAATAAAGTTAATAAAAAATTATATACGTATAATTATGGCACACATAATTGAAGTTAAAAAAGAAATAAAATAACAATACAAAAAAATATAAAGTTATTAAAAATTAATATTAACATAAATAAATAATGTTAACGAATTAAATAAAAATCAATCTTACCGAATGCTTTCACATCTCTATAAAAATATTTGAAACATGGAATAAGAAACATTTGTCATTATTAAAGTAATCATAGGAACAAATTCTTTAGATCAAATTTGCTTTCATATGCGGCTACAGTCATTAAACACTGTTTCATGTGGCAAGCTTCAGCAGTATGAGTTATAATCTATATATATTATGAGGAGTTTGCACTGAAATAGAGTTAGGAATTTTAACCAATAGCTAGATTTTATAATATTAGAATACAATTCTCATGAATAAAATTAATATTATAGTTATTTTTCTCATTTAATAAATTATTTTTATAAGATGTACAAAATTTATTTTATTTAACAATATTTCATATATATTTTCATATTATTTTTAAAAATAGATAATTATATTATGATTTGAAAAATTAATGATATAAAATATTTGAAAAATTATGACATAAAATATTACAAATGCAAATAACTTAGTAATGAAATAAGTTTAAAATGTGAATGTTATGTTAGATGGCGGTAAAAATGGTACATTTAATTTTAGTATGAAACACTGCAATCTATTTATTTCATGCATAATTTTATAGTTAACCTAAAATCTTGACATTTTAAGTACAGCATTGTGTAAATGTGAATGGACGATTAACGCCAAACAAAGTCCACAAACTTTTGTTTAAACGTTATTTTAAAGTTATTAACAAATTGATTATTAAGGTGAAAGCAAAAATTAAATCAAAAAGTAACGGGTAGGAAAAGCATAAAATTGACAGAAATAACGTATTGGGTTATATCGTGTCGCAGTATTTCTAAACGCGGGTTGGTTCTTTATCCTCCCCTCCCCTCCTATCTTCTGAATCCCTTCCGAAAATCGCGCAGCATCCTTGCGCGCGAAACACGCGTATGCCGGTGGACGCACATTGTGTGCCTGTACTTCGATGTACATACTTGTGAATAGTGTATTTTAAGTTTTAGTTTTACGGGATGCATGTATGAAAAAGCGACTCGTATATAATAGTCATAAAAAGATTAAATAGTATAAAAAGAAACGAAAGTTATTTGTCAATTGATCGTGAGTATAGTCATCACAGTTAGACGTGAAATTTGTACGTACATAAATCGAAAAAAGAACATTATCATTATTGTACCTGCTATTGGTTTGGGGAAAAGAATTTGTAGTATTAACGACAATACAAAGAATATAATTTTGTGAATCTTTCGCTTCCTCCCCTCTACTTTCCTACCCCTAATTCCCTCTCGCCCGTTGATGAACAAGCAGTTGTCGTTTTTTGCATGTTTCACTTTTTTTCTCCGGCATCCCTTCAGTTTCGTTCATCCGTCGCAGAAGCGGTTGTGCCGTTTAATAAAACTCGAGAAGTCGTATAGTCTAAGTTACGTCCATTCGACAATTCTCTTTGTGTTCTTGTTTTCCGTGTCCGACAGTGTTGTCAAAATTCCGGCAGCACCGTTGTTTCAGCTGCCATTGCTGTACTGTCTGGCGTTCAATCGTAGCTTCATAAATACGATTCTCTGGTGACTATTCTCGTTATCATCATCTTTCTCATCGTTGTGAAAATAATGAAGATATCACATTGTTAAGAATTACACGTAGAACATGCTCGCAGAACAGACATAGCGGATGATTCTACCTTCAGCTCCAGACGCCGGTTCTGAGTGAGCTAACCTTCACAAAGTGAGGGTACCTCTTATCTGTTTGATCATCGTTCATCGAGCTTGAAGCAGTGCTACAAATTGACAGAACGATGAAGTGGCTCGGTGCGAGTAGCGCTGGTGCTGCGGGTGAACCGGCACCTTCTATGCAATTACACCACCCTTCCGCAAATGGACATATACCTACGGTATGTACCTATTTTAATTTTTTTTGTATTTTTCTATCATATAATTAATATATATCGTAAACCATTTTAATATAACAATGTTTTATTCGTCAATCAAAAATGTCATAACCTATCATTTTGTTTTTTTATAATATTATTTTATGTTTTGTAAAATATTTAATTTCATATGATAATTTAAAAATTGATTATTGTGTTTATTTCATTTTTATTTATTATATCATTACTTATGCAAGAATTTCTATTCTATTGTTAAAAAGTAAGAAAAAAATTTTTTATTGTACATATGCATGAGTATTGCATATGCTTATGCTTTGTTTGATCCATCATGGCAGATTGTTCTATAGAAATGAAGATGTTTTGGTTGCATTAATCAATTTAGTTACTCTAGTGAAATAATAAATAATCTTGCATATTCTACTAATTTTTTTGTATTGTATAAATTTAATAATTTTATTATATATATCTTAATATCAAAAAAATT